ATACTGTGCCATATGAAAGGACTTGCTTCAATATGAAATTGCATATTAATTTTGAACAAAAATTTTTCTTGTTTTATCTACTTCTTTTTTTCCTTTTTTAATACTATTTGTAAATGGATTGATTTTTATATATATATATATATATATATATATATATATATATATATATATATATATATATATATATATATATATGTATATATGTATATATATATTATATATATATATATATATATATATATATATAATTATATATATATATATATATAGTTTGAAGCCATGAGTTCATGTATGTACTTGCCCAGTCCACTGCAATTTTAGTGTATTGATTATGTTTACGCATAGATGGTTCCAGTAGTGCTCAGTCAGCAAGGAGTCAATTATTAGACCTACCTGATTTTACCTACATACCCTTTTCCTCATCTTTTGGAAGGATTTTTTTTAATAACTGTTAGTATTGTTGTTGTTGCTTATAATATCATAGTAATCTTAATTACAGTATTAATTCTAATTGTATAAGAAAGAACTTGTCCCATTGGATGACTGAGCAAATGTAAATCCATCTCTGTATAAACAAAATTCACAAAACGAAAGTTGAGAGGGCAATCCATGTACCCAGCACCAGTGGTTCAAAGATAGGTTTAAGCTGTTTTCTTTCTAATTATTATTGTTGTTATTATTATTATTATTATTATTATTATTATTATTATTATTATTATTATTATTCCCCCCCACCCCCACCCCATGATATGAAACGCAGACAAAACTCACAGACCCTGTGGACGGTAGTGAACAGAGCACTTCTACTTATGGTTTGTTCTAAATTACTTTCAGATCCAAGTAACATAGCAGGCCATCAGGGCTTTGACTTCACACATGCCCAGAGTAGCCCAGTGTTTAGACCCTTCCAACAACCTGCCGTTACTGGCGACCCATTTGTCTTTGGTGCTATAAGTAAGTTGGGATTTATTTTCACAATTCACTTTAGTTGACTAGCAGTTTTTTTTTCGTGTTCTTCTTCTTCTTCGTCTTCTCTTCTTTTTTTTTTTTTTTTTTTTCTTTTACCGTTTTTCACATCTGTTTAGTTGCTGCCTTCTGCTACTGTTGTTTTTTTACATGTTTTGTGTGCATGCTGGATATGTTTGGTTGTTTATGATTCATGATTTGTCCTTTAGGTTCTAAGGTTCATAGTGCATTAAATGTTTTGTTTTGTTTAAGTCTCAGGATTAGGACCCCAGAGAACACCAGCAGGGCTTCCATGTACATAGGGATTCAAGAATCACTACCTGTCAAAAAGCATAGGATAAATGGATGTGCATTTGATCACCAGTACAGGACTCTGTAGTGTAAAATATTTTTGACAATGATATATCCCACTTAGTAGAACCCCAAATTTCATTCATATGGATTGAAAACAATAATGATACCAGAAATCAATCACTTAATTTAATCCTTTTTTCTCTTTATTTCTTTCTTCTTCTTTTGTTTCTTTTGTTCTTTCTTTTTTACAATGTAGTCATCAAATTTCCTTTCTCCATTTACTCAGATTGTATTCTCTAACCTCTGGTATGTAAATGACAATATATGTAAGATATATATCAAGGATCACACATGTATGACAATTTGTTTTCTTCTTTTCTTTGTATATTATCCTTTCTCATTACAAATTCTTAAACAAGGTTTACAAGTAACATGACCTTTGTTTCCTCAAATGTGGCTTTATTCTGTATATTTTTCCTTGAATTCTTCATTTTTTTAATTTTCTTTCCATATTATTGCTGTGGAGTCATATTTAATTCCATATGTTCTGCTTTATTTATCATAAAAATCTCACATTAGCTGCTAGTAATTCATAGAATATGCATTACTGTTTATGGCTTGTATAAAGATTAACTTAATCAAATTGTATTTACAGGGTACATTTCATGTAGTTGTTCTTGCATTATTTATTTAAGCCTGCATTATTTGGCTTTTTTGTACCCTTTTATTTTTGTTTTGTTTTTTTGTCTTTGATTCTCTTTCTTTTAAGCATATTATATAATCAAATTCCTTAGACAGGCATTGCAGCTCAAGAATGTTGCAAATTTCTTTTTTCTTCTCATTCGTTTACATGGTTTTTCAGTCTTGTATAGGCTATTTGTCATTTTAGGCTAAGCTCATAGAATTTTAATTTTCAGGCAAAAATACTCTTGTCTTGTAGAAAAAAATTAGGGGCAAATACAAGAAGTCACTTTCATCATTTATATTTTATTGCACTAGCTTTCCTCAGCCACACACTCATTTTTTTTTGCTGTTTAGTTTAGATATGCCTCTCCTATTCTATCCTTCATATTTCTTAGGATCTATTACTTTTTAATAAAAGTCTTGGAGTTCCTCATCAGTGACTTTTGTCTCTGTTAACTGATACCTAATTAGCTGCACTCCTCCTCCATCCATAAGTAATATATTTGACAGTAAAACACTCAGATTAGGATTAAATTCAGCATCTCAGTAAAGTTCA